GAGCCAACCAATGGGAGCGGCTGGTGCTCCCGCTCAAACAGCGGACCTGGTTGGGAACTCCCACCAGTTCCACGGACATAACACTAAGTCTCATGGATTTTTAAAAAAGTTTGGCAATGAAAATTCCTGCATGTATTTTCAGAATCTCAGCTTTCATGGTATTTCAGTCAGTTGTGCCTTGATGAAATAGCAGAAACAACATTTAAACAAGTGACTGGAGCTTCCTACAGGTTCTCAGGATCTGATAGAAAACAGTGCAAAATACCACTTTAGACTTTTTCCTCTAAAAGATCACCATCTAAGTGCAATCCTCAGCAAGGTTATGTAAGGTTAACGATGGCTCCCCCATATTTTCTCCTCTGCTTTTACAGACAAGCAGAAAATACTACCTAAGTGGTATACTGGGGGTATTTTTCCCCTTTTACTAAATAAGGATCTAAACGTTTCTCTAAATATAGATGTTTGAAAAATATAGATGCAAACAGCATGATCTGAGCCAGTTTGGTCTAGTGATTAAGGCACCTGACGAGAAACCAGGAGACTGTGAGTTCTTGTCCCAATTTAGGCATGAAAGCCAGCTGGGCCAGCCGCTCACTTTCATATCACCTCATAGTGCATTGTTTTGAGGAAAATAGGAGGAGGGAAAATGTATTTGGTATGTTCACTACCTTGAGTTATTTATAAAAATAATAAAGGTGAAGACAAACAAATATATTTCTAGCTTTGTTATGGGTACTCTTTTATGTTTTTAAATACTTTTAACCAGATGTATGGGATTGCTTAAAGGTATTGGCTAACAGTTTCTCTTTGTCAATCAAGCTGACAGTTGGTTTTCTTTCTGGCTGGTAAAACTTCTTCTCTTCTGCCATTTTCAATCCCTACAAAATATACTGTAGACTTTCTCCCACAATCCAGCCAGCTCTTTGTCTTCATCACCATCTTCCAATTCATGCCATCTTTGTTTCAAATATTTTTTGCCATCCCAGAAACAAAATAAAAGGAGGGAAAAGTCGTGATGTCATGTGATGACACCATGACGACGCAAGTTCTACATTATTAATTGGATTCTCAACAATATAAACAATATAAAACAATGAAAGAAAAATTTGTAATAGAAGTTAGGCTGTAAGAAATATCTTGCACAATTCATGTCTTCATAAAGAATTGTCAAAACATGCTGTCCAGTCTCTCTCTCTGTTGTACAAGATTCTGAAGTCTATCCATGCCAGAGACTAAGTCCATTATACTGTGAGGTACAATAGCCTACATAAAGGAGTATTTAACAGCAGACAAAGCTCTCTCTCTCTCTGTCTGTCTTTCTCTCCCCCTCTCCCTCCCTCCCTCAGTATGTGTGTATGTGTGTGTTTGGGGCAGTGGTGGGATTCAAATTTTTTTACTACCGGTTCTGTGGGTGTGGCTTAGTGGGTGTGGCAGGGGAAGGATACTTTAAAATCTCCAGGCAGAGGTGGTATTTGCCAGTTGTCCGAACTACTCAAAATTTCTGCTGCCGGTTCTCCAGAACTGATCAGAACCTGCTGAATCCACCTCTGGTTTGCGGGGAATCCATAATGATACATTTATATGATATACCATGTTTATCTTTCCAATAGAGGCCCGAGGATGAGGCGGTTGTTGATTTGGGAGGCACCAGCAATGCTATTAACATTCATTATGAACCAGAGGAGTTGGAAGGTAAAACAATTATTTTCTACTGTTTTTATCTCTTCCTCTATTTTTCTGTTACATCGTGAAGAATTATTAAATATTTGAGAATGAAACTAAATGTGTTTTCTAGTTGAAACTGTCTGCATATAATGAAAAGTATTTTATGTATCACACAACCAAAAACGTTCTATATTTGTTTAAATTAAAGAAAACCCATCAAAATTATTACCAAAATCTACTTTTGGAATGTTGGTTTGTTTCATTTTTAAAATGGTAATTCCTTATTTATGTCATGCAGGACAGTTATAAGGGCCTTGAGGCAAGAAGAAATTCATGGTAGATGTTTTTTTTTTTCATACCAAAAGAACATTATCTTCCAAACATTGTATCTGCATATTATAAAAATATATAATAGCTGCTGAGGTCATTCATTGGAGAACAGGATCGGTTCTCATCAATATGTTGATGATTCAGCTGTGTATGTGGATCCCTAGTCAATTGAGTGATGTTGTTAAGATCCACCACCCAATGGCTGGGTGGTGGTCCCAGTGGGGGAAAAACAAACTGAGACTCAATCCAAGCAGGATTGACTGGCTTTGTGTACTAGACAACTCAGATCAGGGGCTTTTTATCTCTAGTTCAGAATGGGGTTGCACTCTCCCAGATGCAACAGATACTCAAGTTTGGGAGACTTCCAGGATCCTCTTAAAGAGCAGATTACATCTGTAGCCACCTGTACGTGGATAGGGAGGGCCCTTCTCATGGTCACTCTTGCCTTGGTTACCTCAGGTATAGAATACCATTCTTTGCTTTATATGGATTGCCCTTGAAATCTACTCAGAAGCTGCAAATGATAATATCAGCAATTTCTAGTATGATCCAAAACTGGAGTTAATATGCAGTTTATTCAAAACTTTATTGGGGAAAACTGCATTTTTAAGTATATAGCAGCTACTGTTCTATTAATAGCATACAGCAGCAGAAGTATGTTTTCTGGTGATTTAGGAAAAATGCACAGAAAGTAAGCAGTGGAAGAGTCACTGAAACAAATCAGACTTAAACTGAGTCATACTGTTGAATCAAATAGATAACTGAATCAATACAATAGAAGAGAGTCTTCTGACTCTATACATTTTATAAAGGTCAGTGAAGTGGACTGAATGCCACTAAAAGCATACAAAGAAAAGTTGGGGGCAGATAGAAATACATCAATTTTAAAGATGTTCTCTAACTCACACGTTGCTGTTTTTAGTCTGTAGCTCAGGGGTGTCAAATGTGTGTTGTCATGGCATCGTCACATGACATATCGCAACTTTCCCCCCTTCACTTAGCTGGGCATGGGTGTGGCCAACATGTGATGCATCTGGTCTGCAGGCCGCGAGTAGCTGTTACTTTTGAAATCTGTAGATGAGATTCTTGAATACCAGTGATGATTTGATCAGAAGGCTGGTTATATTCCCTCTTATGGGGGTTGAATCTGATTGGGAAAAATACCTCTATTTAATAAAACATTCTTGTTACAGGATTCAGAGTGGTAGCATGGTAGACTTACTAATTTCAGTACCTTCCATAAGAACATGCTTGTCAGTGTTTTAATTTAAATTGTTAACTTATACTTAAGATAATGACTTATATATAAGCTCGCTTCAAGTCTTTATCACATCCTCAAAAGCAAGCAGGTTGTCAATTCCAGTAAATAATTCCTTTTTTTCCAAAAGAAGCATCACTCTTGAGAGTCAGTACAAAGGAGAAATAAATAATTAATTCTGTAGCGTATACTTTATTCTCTTTATACTTGTTGTGGATCCTGCCTAGCATAATGTGTTTAAATTAGTAATAAAGAGCAGAGCCACAAAATGTCACAAAACCCTTCCTCTCTTGTGAATTCAGGCATGTCTTTTCATTGCTAGGGTTCAGGCAGTGGGATAATAATGAAGGAAAGAGAGCCCAAATCCATGAACTGAGTGAACTTTCTTCATCCCTAAAAATGTACAGCATAAATTCTGCGAGATAGGTTGTACAAGGTCAGAAGGGCATATGGCTTCCAAGTAGATTTGCATACACTGCTTTTTTTTATGTTGCTAGAAAGTTAAACTCTGGATGGATGAGATATGGAATTGTACTGGAACAAACTAACAGCTTGGTAGAACAAAAGACAGCAAAAATGAGCAATCTGTATATTGTCTTGGAGCCACCTTGTCCCAGACTACTATACATGAAAGGAAGCCCTACTATAGGTAGTCCTCAACATATGACCACAATTGAACCCAAAATTTCTGTTGCTAAGCTCGGCAGTTATTAAGTGAGTTCTGCCCCATTTTACAACCTTTTTTTTTTTTTTGCTAACTGCAAAAAAAATCTGGTTACTGATTTACAGATTTATTTGTTTTGTATGGCAGCCCATCGCAAGCAAGCGAGTTTGGGTGGTAAAAAGTCAATTCAAACTAAATTGCAATCACAGTTCAAACTAGAAGATTAGATCTATATAGCAGTTGAGAAAAATAACAATAGTTGAAAATTATAATTCAAAGATGCTAACATAACCAGAAAACAGAGCTCTTTACATTTTTTTTTGCTAGCTACCTCAAAGGGCAAAAACAAGGGAATTGTCAAGTACCCAAGAGGTTATTATGTGTTAAACAGTTAAAACAACTGTGTTTAACTTGGTGATTTACAATGCAGGTGAAAATAGATCGCTAAACAGAGTTGCTCAGAAACTTGTGGTCTCCTTTGCTGCTTATGAATGCTGATCCTAATCTATGCAGATAACTGAATTTTTTAATCAGTATGCACCAAGCATAGCTTCCATTGTCTTTTCTTTCAGTCCAATTCTCCTGAGTGTGTAGGCCTTTTTACAAGAAATTTTCTTTCACCTTGTTCAGTGGACATTCAATTACAAAAGAGACTCCTGCTCTCTCATTTCCTATATTAGTATGATTCCCCCTGTGCCTGCTACATGTTTATATCATTAACATCAGGGAATTCTCAGCAGGAGCAAACATGAAACTCTTGGTAGCATAACCATCCTGGCTAAACTCATGCCTGAGCAGAGATTCTTAGAGATAGAGAGAGAATGCTTACGTACAATTTTTCTGTCAATGGAGAATATCAGGTGGTATGAACAAAATATAGAGAAAGGCAAATGAGAAAAAGATGCAACAAACAGATTATGTTCTCAGATGAGCAGTTCCTGGCAGTAGTCATCTAAAAATGGATTTGTGTTACATGGGTACTATAATTCATAGAATTTATTAAAGTTTTGCCCACATGATAATTCTTGGATATCACTCTTTTAGAGCTAGTTTTGATTGCAAGGCTTTGGCTGGCTCTTTCAGATTCAGAAATCAACAAGCTTGATATACTGACTTAGTTATTCCCTTCTACCATTTATTCTCTCACTGCCAATCATTGGAAGTCTTTTCAAGTAATTGTGGTGCTATCCAGTCCAGTTAGAGATCATACAGAAACTTTGGTAGCTTTCTTTGTGACTTATTGGCAAGACGCTTTGAAGACAAAATAGGTCAGCTATGGTAAAATCAGCCACAGTTTCAGCAGTTTAGGTCTGTATGAATTAATACATGATCATATTGGTCTATGTGATTTCTATGCATTTCAATAGAGGTCAAATTAATAGCTTGGAGCACTTGTAACTCATCTTTGGCATTTGAGGCCTAAGTGTTTTTCTTTTAATATATGAAATTAGCTCAGGCTCTACTCTCCCTTGGAAACATCTTGTTTAGATTACTGTAATGCACTATACCTGGGGCTGCTCTTGATAATGATTAAGAAATGTCAATTGTACTACAAAATACTGCAGCAAGATTTGAACTGTGAAGCAAATTCATCATACCAGGACATCTATAGAAAGCCTGTTTTCTGGATGGTGAGATGTAACAAGTAGCTGAGGACCAGTGTTTTCCGTCTTCACCATTTTTATTGCTTTTGTTGTCTCTTGCAAAATCATTTTTATTTACCAGGCTTTTAAGAATAAGATAATGTTATTATAGGTTTTAATTGCTTTGGCACTAATTTTACAGTTTTAACATTTATCACTTATTTTATCCTTTTAAAATTCTTTTTTTTGTGGTAATTTTTAAGTGTAAATTACAGGTTTCTTTTAAAGGAAAGCAAGCAAGCAAACAAACAAATCAATGCATACTTGTTCTCTTAATGTAATTAGCAAACTTCATTGTTGTTCATTCTGAATCAAGGCTGCTTCTAACTGCATTCCCCCCCACCCCAAATTAGAAGTTAAAATCACATTCTGTTAATGCTTTGGTTCCTCAGTTCATTCTAGAGGGAACATCCTCCACCTCATATTTAGATGATACATTTTGCTTTAAGGAAATCATGCCTAAGTATTTCATTAGCTGTACTACTTAAGAAGGGCCAGAAATTATGAGCAGCTGTTGTGTTGTAACAAGTCTTATGAATGACAGTGGTATTTAGTGGTTCCTATAAGAACTGGCGTAGTTTGTCTGGAGTGTAATGACAGCTTAAAATATACATAGTCCTTGTTTTATGAATGTCTTCTTTAGTGACTATTTGCAGTTATGACAGTGATAAAAATTTTAACAACTAATTCTTGCATTTTATTTTATATATTTATTTAAAGAAGTTATATAGCTTCCCATCTTCTAACCAATTCTGGGCAGCTCCCAAGGATTCCTGTGTCTGTAGAGCAAAGGAAAGCAAGTTCATGAGCTTGCTTCACTTAAAAACTGCTTCACTTAACAGCTCAGCTACCAATCCCAATTGTGGTTGCTAGATGACAATTTATGTATATATGTAGTCCTTGAGTTACAACAGTTCATTTAGTGACCATTCAAAGATACAATGGCATAGAGATAAATAATTTATGACCATTTTTCACACTTATGACTGTTATGGCATTCCCATAGTCACGTGATCAAAATTAAGATGCTTGGCAACTGATTCATATTTATGATGGTTGCAGTGTCCTGGGGTTGTATAATCACCTTTGCAACCTTTTGACAAGGAAAGTCAATGGGGAAGCCAGAATCACTTAGCATGTTACTAACTTAAGAACTTACTTAACAACTATGACAAGAAAAGTCGTAAAATGGGGCAAAACGCAATAAATGTCTCACTTAGCAAAATAAATTTTGTCGTAAGCCAAGTACTACCTGTATATATTGTTCCAAGGTCTTCATCAACATAATGATGAAGTATGGCTTTAATTAGGAAGATGACTTTCTGTATTTCTGATGGTTATAAAGAGCAGTTGCAGTGAAATGGACTGATGTAATTTCAACAAAATCAAAGCCATAAATACCTGACAATCTGCTTTTGTTCCAGGGCACAGGACATTATACGTTGGGGTACGGATGCCTTTGGTTAGACAAGGCCACAGACATCACAGACCCCACGGCCCCAAACACAGAAAACGAGATCAGATAAAGGAAAGTATATTGGAGGAGCATGAAACTTACGGTAAGTGTGTGTTGATACTAGAACACAGTGTGGGGAGTGAGCCATATTATTGTCATGTATAGTTCTTTAGGATCTTAGAGAGGCATTCAGAATATGGCTGAGCACTTGTAGTAACTCCAAGTGCTGAAGCAAATCCTTAATCTTCGAAAGATTTGGAGATGGACAGAGGGACCTATTGTCTCTGAAATAGCAGGATTACCTTACAGTCACAACCACAAAAGCATTTGCAGGCCATTATTCTAATCCAAAGTTTGATTCAGAAACTAAAATATCCAACTGATGGCAGCTCACCCTCTTCTTGAAGATCTACCCCAACGGAGAAGCCTGAACCTCCAGTCAATCAGCTCCATTATGAAACTGCTCTCTCTAACAGATTTGGAAGGGACCTTGGAGGTCTTCTAGTCCAACCCCCTGCTTAGGCAGGAAACCCTACACCATTTCAGATAAATGGCTATCCAATATCTTTTAAAAAACTTCCAGTGTTGGAGCATTCACAACTTCTGGAGGCAAGTTGTTCCATTAATTAATTGTTCTAACTGTCAGGAAATTACTGCTTAGTTCTAAGTTGCTTCTCTCCTTAGTCAGGAGCGTTCGCAACCCAAGGTTCCACTGTATTTTTTTTTAAGTTGTAAAACTCGCCACAAAAACAAGGAAATGGGAAATCCCACCTGTATTCATGTGTGATATAATCCTATACACTGTGCATCTTTAAGCCAGTACAGTAAAAGTACATTACATGCAATGTTTAGCAAGGAAGAGACACTCCGCCTTGGTTCCCAGATCTCATAGAGTGCCATCAGGGAATGAAGATTTATATATCAGTCAGATAACAGACTGAATGCGGCTAAGACATTCAGATAATATGTTGCCAGAATAAGGAATCTAAAAGAGAAGCGAAAGATTAATGTGGCACATCACAATTGAAAGATACTTGCTAAGAATTTACTTAGTAAAAACAAACAAAATTGCAATATAATGTAATGTGCAGGATGTGGGCGTCTATGCTCAGAGGTTAATTATTAACTGATGTTTTCTAGGTTTGGAACTAAGAATTGGTTTGATTAGAAACCTCCAGGAAACAGAAGGCTGTAAAGTACACAGGGAATTGAAAACAAATCCCAGGAGGTGGCAATATTAATCTACTTCTATATAGTTTCCAAAAAATCTATATGGGTGGGTCCATGAAGTTAAGTTTCATTTAAATGTGACTTTACTTTTTTGTAAGTAGTTTTAATGAGCTTCTGGTCCTGCAGATTCTATTTACTTTTCCACTAATAGCAAAATTACTAACAATGACTTTCATTTACCAAAGAAAAAAACACCAGAAACAACAAACTAAAAGAATCTCATCTTCGACTGATATTTTTTTGAGAACTGATGACTTTGCAAGATCTTTTCTGTAATTTGCCCCTTTTGTCTGTCAGATCTCTCTCTCTCTATACAGGTAGTGCCTCAACTTATGACACAATGGAACCCATCATTTCTACTGCTAAGCAAGGCAGTTGTTGAGTTGTGCTCTATTTTGCGATCTTTTTGCCACAATTATATTACGTGAATAATTGCACTTGTTAAATGAACCATACAACTGTAAAGTGAATCTGGTTTCCCCCACTGACTTGGCTTGTCAAGTCAGCTGGGAAGGTTACAAATGGTGATCACCTGACCCATCATAAATACATGCCAGTTGACAAGGGACCAAATCTTGATCACATGACCACGGGGGATGCTGCAGCGGTTGTAAGTGTGAAATCTGAAGAACTACTGCAGGAATTCGGTATGGCCAGTCTAGAGAAAAGAAGGACTAGGGGGTGACATGATAGCAATATTCCAGTGTTTGAGGATCTGCCACAAAGAAGAGGGGATCAAGTTATTCTCCAAAGCACCAGAAGGCAAGACAAGAAACAATGGATGGAAACTAATCAAGGAGAGAAGCAACCTGGAGAAACTTCCTAACAGTGTGGAGAAACTTCTTAACAGCGAGGACAAACAACCAGTGGAACAACTTGCCTTCAGTAGTTGTAGGTGTGTTCATCCCTGGAGGTTTTCAAGAAAAGACTGGGCAGCCACCTGTCTGAAATGAGATTGGGTTTCCTGCATGAGCAGGGGGTTGGACTAGAAGGCCTCCGAGGTCCCTTCCAGCTGTACTCTGATTGATCGTCCATAAGTCAGTTTTTTCAGTGCTGTTATAATTTTGAACAGTCATTAAATGAATGCTTATAAGTTGAGAATTGCCTGTATGTTTTTTTAATTCTTTCTCCCTGATTCTGCTGTCCCAGGGCGTTTCCATAACCACAAAGAATACATTACCCTTGTCTTCATCATTAGAATTATTAATACAACGTTCCACTTTGTTAGATACCCCATCTCAGCGAGTTCACTTTATCCTTGGTATGGAAGAGGATGAGGAGCATGTCCCCCATGATTTATTCACAGAAATGGATGAAATCTGCGTGAAAAACGGTGAAGAATCAGAGTGGAAAGAAACAGCAAGGTAAAAGAACCAAGGAATTATTTTTTCCCCTGCCTGTTGATTGTTAATGAGGGACAAACAAATCACCTTTTAAATATGGAACGGGTACAATAATTTTCAGTATGTCTGTTCCAATTTTACTTGGACAGAATTTGTCAGATCAGATTTCTGGCCTAGAAGCAGCTTCTGCTCCTGTGCAGAATGTGTTCTTGATTCCCTAATTTTACCCGAAAATCTCTCAATCTGATAATCTGTTCAAAAGTTTTCCCAATTTGTGGGTTATTTTGAAGTGTACAACTGGTTTTGTCTCAGCATGAGATAATGCCACGTCAAATCAGGAGGCTTCTGTGAATTCAATAGCTCATCTTACAACTATGGGGAAAAAATTCAAGCTTACCTCATTATCTTTGGATTCAATTAAAATCAGTTTCTGGAGTAGTGCATTTCTGTTGGGTATTTATTTTATTTATTTGTTTGTTTGATTTGTCAATCGCTTACAGGATAATAGGTATAGGTGTAAATATGAGTAAGAATACAGGAAATAGGTACAAATAAATGGGGACAATAGGACAGAGACAGTAGGCACAATTGTGCACGTATGCATGCCCCTTATAGACCTCTTGGGAATGGGGTGAGGTCTATAGTGGATAGTTTGAGGTTAAAGGAGTGTGGGTTAAAGGATGTAACAACAGAGTTAGGTAGTGCATTCCTGGCATTGAGCACCACTCTGTTGCTGAAGTCATACTTTCTACAATCGGGTTTGGAGCGGGAATAGTACTGATAACTACTGTGCCAAATACCACTTTGAATAGAGTTCAGAAATGGTTTTAAAGCAATTCTAAACTTGATTCAGGAGTACATTTAATGTACTGCCAAACATAATTCAAAATATACGAGTAAGTAAATAGAAAATAACATTTGGAAGCTGATAGAAACCTTAAAATAATACATTTATTGTTGGCTTGGTTGTTTGTAAATGGATGCCCTCTTCTGGCAGATGGAATACTAACGCCTGTTACTACACAGCACTGCCCATTTATTACTTCTAAAGCTGCTGTTATTACTATGATTGGTAGCACAGTCAGCCAAATGTTTAGACTTTGTCATTATTATTATTTAAATCAGAAGGTTGAGAGTTCAGTCCTAGGTAGCGGCAGACGTTTCTCTCCTAGGGTACAAAGAAAAAATATGTTCCAAACTCCACATGGTGTTGGGAAGAGCATTCGGCCACTAAATAGTCAGCACCATCCAGTCACACCCCGACTCTACCCTGAATTAAGGAATTACAGGGTCGTAAAAAGGGATTTTTCAATTATTTAAATAAATAGGAATTGGAATTAAACAATAGTGCCTCCTTGTAAATTTAGCATTTATATGCCGAGATTGAGGGCAAAGCAAGAAATCTATTAAGGTTATTGCCAGGGTAAATTTAAGTCAGGCAGCACTCTATGGAAAATAGCACTAGTGCTAGCATCTACATATCACTTCACAGTGCTTTACAGCCCTCTCTAAGCGGTTTACAGAGTCAATGTATTACCCCACCGCCCCAACTATCTGGGTCCTCATTTTACCAAACTCAGAAGAAGGGAAGACTGAGTCAACCCTGAGCTGGTGAGAATCGAATTACAGGCTGCGGGCGGTCAGTAGAAGTAGCCTAGAGTACTGCATTCAAATCACTGTGCCACCACGACTTGTTAAAGCTCTTAAAGACTCAAAACGTTGAAAAAAACTCATTACAGTATTCCATTCCTATTCCATGTTCTGTTGTCTCAGTAGTTCAAGTATAACGTAGATTCTTTAATCATGGTAAAGGATATGTTTTATATCTGAAAGTTCCCCAATACAGGTAATCCCTGACTAAGAGCACAATTGAGCCCTAAATTTCTATGAAGTGAGACATTTGTTAAGTGAGTTTTGCCCCATTTTTTTGCCACAGTTCTCAAGTGAATCAGTGCAGGTGGTAAGTTTGTAATCCAGTTGTTAAGTGAATCTGGCTTCCCTGTTGACTTTGCTTGTCAGAAGATCGCAAAAGGGGATCACATGACCTTGGGGCACAGCAAGGGTCATTAATATGAACCAGTTGTCAAGCAACTGAATTTTGATCACCTGGCCACGGGGATGCTGCAAAGTTCGTAACTGGAAAACGGTCATAAGTCACATTTTTCAGTGCCGTTGTAACTTTGAATGGTCACTAAATAAACTGATGTAAGTTGAGAACTATCTCTACTAGCTGGCATTTTCTTTTATAGGACCTTAACATAGCTAGAAAATATTTCGGTGATATTTCAGAATTACGTTGTATAATCAGTCTAGGGGATATTAATATAGTCTAGGGTTCAAGCAGGGTTCATTATGCATATTTCTCCAGCATCAGAAAAGTTACAGAAAGGGTTTCTCCATGCAGTCAGGTTCACCTATCTGCTATATACAAAATCCAAAACTGAACTCAGTTGGATTATTTATCAAATATATTTCTGAGTTAATCTCCCATCTTAAAAAACAAGCCTGTTTAATTCCTGTTCTGTACCAATTCTTCTTTTTAAAACATGTCTAGCTCCCTGGAGTATATATATGGCTTTTGTCCCTGTGAATGAGCATTTCATCCATACTCGTGGGTACTCCAGATTGGAATAGGTAGTAAACACAGCTTGCTGTAAGATGTCTTGTTTTGAATTTCTATCCGTCACTGACGGATAGGAAATAATTTTTTAGAGGTAGTCCTTGACTTACAACAGTTCATTCAGTGAATGTTCAAAGTTACAACAGCACTGAAGAAAGTGACTTATGATCAACCGGTTTTCACATTTATGACCGTTGCAGCATCCCCATGGTCACGTGTTTAAAATTCAAACACTTGGCAACTGACACATATTTACAACAGTTGCAATGTCCCAGGGCCGCATGATCACTTTTTGTGTCTTTCTGACAAGCAAAGCCAATAGGGAAGCCAGATTCACTTAACAACCATGTTACTAACTTAACTGCAGTGATTCACATAACAACTGTAGCAAGAAAGGACAGTATATAGGGCAAAGCTCATAGGTCTCACTTAGCAACAGAAATGTTGGGCTCAATTATCATAAATCGAGAGCTACTTGTACTTCTGTATTCATTTGTGATTTCTGTGGGACCTGTAGGCCCTTTTGTAAATAAAAATAATGATAGAACTGGTGTTTTGGATTGCCTTCATTGATATGGGACAGGGAGCCTGGCAGATTTTGAGGGATATGTCCACTGACTGACTCCACATTACTATTCACTAATATGAATGCATAAAAGCTTGCTGGAAAAATAAATATTATGTATTGATCCTGAAACCTCTTGCTGTTGTATTTGATTTGGGTTGTGTTGTTTGCCTCACTTCCAGATGGCTGAAATTTGAGGAAGATGTGGAAGATGGAGGAGAACGATGGAGTAAGCCATACGTGGCTACTCTGTCACTGCACAGTCTCTTTGAACTGAGGAGCTGTATCATCAATGGGAGTATCCTTCTGGATAAATCTGTAAACTGCACTGAAGACATTGCAGGTGCTATTTTTAACAATTTATGAGAATAAAAGTCAAGGAATCTGTTCTGTGTGCCTTCTTCTCCTGTATATAGAGAACATCCTTCCCAGATATAACCTGCCTAGATGCAAACTTTGATTAGGTAGAAATTTCCTCAAATTCTGGAAATCTGTTTCAAGGCAGAATAATATGGCAGTCTTCCTTAATTTGATGCCTTCCAGAAGTTTTAGGGATATGATATTGGGAATATCGAGCTTTGCACATGATGTCTAGGAATTCTTGGAGTTATATTTCTAACAATCTAATCTGCAGGACAACAGTTTAAGGGAAGGTTTTATTTAATTTAAAAATCAAGCTGGTTTGCCCAGTTTGGTGATTCATTACATTTAGAGCAGGGATGTCAAATTCAATTTCATTGAGGGCCGCATCAGGGCTGAGGTTGACTTTGGGGGCTGGGTGGGTATGGCCGACTGGGCAGGTGTGGCCAACTGGGTGGGGGTGGCCATCTTGATGCCACTCCCCAAACTGCTGGCATGTTTCCTTTTCACTCTGGGTAGACCTGGCCGAAGAGATACAAGCTGGCCCCTCACATTTTTCAGGATGGCCCCGTGGGCCGGATCTGACCACATTGCAGGCCGGATTCAGTCTGTGGGCCTTGTGTTTGACACCCCTGATTTAGAGTATATTAATCCACATTAATGCAGGTTGGATGGATGGGAAGATAGGATGCTAAAGTAGCAGAAATGGTTGGGAAAAGAGTATTTATTGTGCCTGCTGTTTTTTTCCTACCTTTTAACTATTTTTAAAATGTTTGATTAAAAAAAATGTGGAAGCCATAACAGATTTGGGTCTTTTTAAAATCTCTCTCCTACCACTATTACTCATGGAATGGAGCATCATGGATAGCTATTCTGAGAACTAAATATGGCAGTTAAGAATTTTCCTCTGATTGTTGCTTTGGGGTGATTGTATGGTTTCTATATTAGTTTTTTTTTCCTCAGAAAGAAATAGAATGCATATTTTTAGCATCTTTTACTCAAGCATGCTGCTGCCACTGTCTACCCAAGCCCAGGGCATGGGATCTAATTTAAGAGAAGAACAAGCATAAACTTCTAAATCAAAAGTCAATAAGATTGCATTAGCTGATAACTGAACCCTTCTCACATTGAAATAAATGCCAGGATCATTAAAAGAAGAAACTCTTGTTCTCGAATAAGATAGTATATAGCCGTGATTGAGAATCTATGGCACATGTGCCACAGGTGGCACGCAGAGCCATTTGTGTGGGCACGCAAGCCACAGCCAAACTTACCTCCACTGTACCTGCATGTGCCTCCCAGCTGATTTTCGGCCCATTTGAGGCTGTTTTCACCCTCCTGGAGGCTCGAGGGAAGCTTCTGCAGCCTCGAGAGGCAAAAAAAAACGGGCCTTCCGGAAATACAGGAAGTGCTAAAATGGGCCTGCTTTGGGGTTGCAGAGGCCTCCCTTGAGCCTCCAGGAGGGCAAAAATGGCCTCAAACGGGCCAAAAATCAGGTGGGAGGCACGTGCAGTGCAGGTAACGGGCGGGGCAGGGGTATTGCGCACACATGCGCAGGGGGGACCGGGCACATTGCATTGTGGGTGCAGACACAGGCATGTGCACACTATCACACGCACGTGCGCTTTCGGCACACCACAACAAAAAGGTTCGCAATCACTGCTATATAGCTTGAAGAACACAAGAAATGAACTGATATTGCAAATACGCTTGTGTAAAAGTCTTTATATTATACTTTTTAGAAACCATTTTGGGAAGTAAGGAGTGGCCAGTAATATATAAACACTTTCCTTAGTTGTTTTATTTGGCATTTATAAAAAAAGAAAAGGAAACATTTCATAATAAGCGTTATAATTTAAGGGGGGGGAAATAGAGGAGTTTTTCTGTTATTTTTGGGCAGAGCGTCTGTATATATGCCTTTGAGTTCATATTTCAGACTATGTGACCATTAATATCTCTGGATAGGCCCGATGAAAATTGTAGTTCAAAATATCTGAAGGAACCTAAGTTGCAGTTGGCTGGATGAGATAAATTTCTAGAGGGCAGGTTTACCAGTGCCTTTAACTAGTATCATAGCTAAATCAAACCTTCTTTCTTCACCTTTTGAAGAAAGAATAGGCTTAGATGAAGTCTGCCAAGATATAATACAGGGAGTCCTTGAACTTACAATCATTCGTTGTGAAGTTACAATAGCAACAGCAATAGCACTAAGTTTTATATTCCGCTTCACAGTGCTTCACAGTCCTCTCTAAGCGGTTTACAGAGTCAGCATATTGTCCCCAACAATCTGGGTTCTCATTTTACTGACCGTGGAAGGATGGAAGGCTGAGTCAACCTTGAGCCTGAGTCAGTGCACTGAAAAATGTGACTTATGATCAGTTTTCACACTTATGACTGTTGCAATAACTCCATGGTCATGTGATCAAAAGTAACTTGGTAACTATCCAGAGATACTGGCATATGTTTATGACAGCTGCAGCATCCTGGGATCATGTGATTACTATTTATAATCTTCCCAGCTGACTTCTGACAAGCAAAGTCAATGGGGGAAATCGGATTCACTTAACAGTTGCAGTAGTTCACTTACTTGTAGCAAAAAAAGGTCATAAAATGAGGCACAACAACTGTCAGTGGAATGGAAATGTGGGGCTCCATTGAGGTGGTAGTCAGGAACAATCTAAATTTGTCTCATTTGAAGACAAATTATAAATTACGCTCATTTGTTCTGTATTAATGGTCCAGTCTGATGTGTTGTGAAATAGACTTTTCTGTTAGCGGAGTATTTTGAAAAATACAACTAATAGCAGGTGTGCAAAGGATTATAAGGATTGCTGCTATAATAGAAAAATATATATAATTAAGTCTTTCTTTCCTCCCTTCCTCTACTTCTGAACCATACCCAATCTAATTAATATAATTTTAATTCAGGATCATTGATTGCTGTGTAATCTGCATTGCATTTGTATAATTAGGTGGTTTTCTCTTTCAGAAATGATCCTGGATAGCCAGGATTCTCACGATATATCCATACGTAAAAAATTCTGGGAAACCCTCTTGAAGAAACACCATCATCAGCATGAAAAAAAAAGAAACATCCTTCCAATTGTCCGTTCTTTTGGAGAAAGTGGCCAGAAAAAGTCTGATCCTCACTCAATAGATAAGACAGGTAAAGGATCTCTGTAACCTGGCTGTTCTGGTCCAATTTTCTCATTACATTAGGAATTATAAACCAAATATTGAGAAATAATTGGGAATATATAAAAACTTATGATTTACAACTATCACTAATTCAGTCACCCAACACCCTGAATCCAAACCACAAATGTTTGTGTACACATCCAGTGATCAGAGGATCCCTTCCTAATCTGTCAGTGTCTCTGCTTGCTTTCTGGATTGTACATACTCCAGACTAGCAGTGGAATATGAAGAACAAACACATTTGACAAAATTTACTCAATCTATATTTATTTATGAAATTTATATGCCGCTCATCTCCATTCTGAGTGACCTGAATATGGACTTGATGCCTGGGCATGAGTAATTGCATGCAGCTTGCTTTTTCCTGTTGCTATATTGCTTCAGCAATTTAGAAGACAAACATAATAAAGTGAATGATAATCTCTAGTGAAACCAAGTGAATGATAATCTCTAGTGAAACCAACCAACCAAAGCTACTCTGTGTAATATGCTATCCCCAAATAAATTAACTATATTGAATTGATAGTCTACTTCAGATTATATTAAGGCATAGTGTAATTTGTTGGCCTTTACCTTAACTATTTAGCCTAAACAATTTATGGTTTATCATAGATGAGCATAGACATTGTCTGATTTGAACATCAGGGATGCATATGATCTAACTTGTATTTCACTAGGTTTTAGTCAAACAATCTCCCCGAAGTATAGGATTATAAGAATAATTCTGCTGGCCCAGCTAAAACTCCATCTTCCAATGTTTTCTGACATACTAAGTATGTTAATCATTTTTATCTAAGCATTTTTATTGTAAATTTTTATTGTAAATTTTATTGTAAATCCTTATTTTCTTTCAATCCAGCTTCATTCATGCTTGAAAATTGGAAATCCTAAAATGTTTGTCTGTTGTCACACTTATACACAGTGCAGGATGTCACAATCCAGGCAGAACATAGTATAATGTGTGTGTATTTGTGTATGTGCCCCCCCAACACTGCACCACCACGGCTCATGAAAGTTGTTTTCTTCTTGTATTTGCAATTCACATAAGTAAAATAAGATAGACAGATGGACATTATAAGTGAAATCAAGCATTCTACATGTGTTTTTATTGACAAAAACTTAGTACTTTTCTCAAAATTATATACTCAATGTATGGTGTATAATGTGATAAGTAATTCAGCAAATTATCTAGATTTTTCCTGTTTCTATTTAGGAGTGACTTCACTGTCTCTTCAGCCTCCTTCTAACACACTAGATGTTAGAAATGGATTGACTCCTGATACTACCCCAACAGACGTGTGCAAAGTGAGTTAATGTAATTGTTTATCACTAATTGTAAGAGCATCTTACAGCCAATTAGATCTGACTCCATCGAAGTCAGATTAAAACTATTGACATTGCTTTGATTCTGAATTGGCATCTTCAGCCAAACTGACTTTTATGATAATGTCACTGTCAATGGGAAAAAAAAGTTGGGTTCCCTGGAGTTTTAACGTGGGCCACTATTGCTGTCATGAGTAGCATCCATGGTATGTCAGCATTTCATCTGAATATGAGCATCTCTATATGACGTCTATTTTTTAAAAGTAAAATCAGCCCTAAAAGGAGGTTCTCTGGAATTTATACAGGTAGTCCTGGACCACAACGGGGACTGGCACTAAGTACAACAGTTGTTAAGTTGAAATGCCATATGTCCATGCTGACTTACATCAGTTCCAACTGCAGATGTTAAGCAAATAACCATGAATCATTAAGCAGGATGTCATGGTCTGCCACTTGCAAAGTCCTGCTGACTTTCTCATTGACTTTGCTGGTTGGATGTCAGCTGTGGACATTGCAAAGGGTGATTGCATGACCCTAGGATGCTATTTCTGTTGTAAATACACACTGGTTGCCAAGCACTCAAATTACTATCAAATTATAACAGAGATGCTGTAACAGCCACAATTTCAAGGACTGGTCATAAATCTTTTTTGTCATTGCTGTCGTAACATTGAACAGTTGCTGAAAGAGTGAATTACCTGTATTTATTAAATTACCTGTATTCATTACCTTATTTCTGAAACGCGTCATAATATCTGTATTTATTAAATGCATCACAATATTAGTTCTGCCTTAAAAATTAAGCTTTTTTCTTTGTAATTAGGCACACCTTCATTTTATGAAGAAGATTCCTGTTGGAGCTGAGGCTGCAAATGTTTTAATTGGAGAAGCAGATTTCCTGAAACAACCTATTGTTGCCTTCTTACGTTTATCACCAGCTGTTCTTCTTCCAGGCATGACTGAGGTTCCGCTCCCTACCAGGTAAAATGTGGTAGTGATGATGGGGGTATTTGGGGATAACTAATAGTACTGATGCTTCTTAGTGACTGTAGCTATGCAGTTTTCTTGGCAGTGTTACAGAAGTGATGGTTTGCAATTGCCGCCTTTGGGATTTTAGTTTGTTTTTTACCTTCTCAGTCTATCCAACAGTAATTAATGCTAAGTTCACACTGATTGTGTACTACGACTATTTGTCACCCTGATTGTTATATTTGAGTTTATGCTTGTAAATAATTTGTCCATGCCATTTAAATTGTGTTTGTTGCAAACTTTGGAATGTTGCCTCCATGCTACAGTTAAAAATATTTAATCATTCATTTTGATAGCTTTGTAATTTATATAGAAGCTTTAAAAATGATTTTAAGCTCTTTGCTGAAATAAAAACCCAACTTTTTCAGTGGACTCAAGAGAAATCTAAACATTTAGATGGCTGTGGATATTTCCTGTTCCTACACTATTTAATCCTTTTAAAAAAGCTGCGTCTACTAAAGAGGCATCCTATTAGAAAATCTATAAATGTTAATATTTCAGTATTAGATACAGGTAATCCTCAAGGTACAACAGGCCATGTAATGAATGTTTGAAATTACAAGTGACAACTCACACAAGCTACTTACAACCTCATTCCAAAATTAGGACAGCTGCAGTGGGCCTACGGTTGTTCACTCTAATGACCCACCATAAGGTCGTTGCAGTGCCTTCCTTCCTCTCTTCCCCCATCCACCCCACTGGAAACCTGCAGGACCTGGACCTCCTCCTTATGACCCCCATGACGCCCCACATGTAACTTCTGAAGCTCTCCAGACCTCATGTTATGGAGGAAGAGCAGATCATGTGTCCCGGTGATGTGCTGTGGAGACCCAAATGCAGCCGTCATTTTGTCCCTACCCAAAAATGGGTGGAAACAAAATGATGTCCATCACACAAACTGCTTCATTTTGCTACCTTAGGTCTGCACAGAGCTGCAGAAGCTTCTGAATCTGCAGAAAGCTTTTGAGCACCGTGCAGAGCTGGTTAAGATAGCAAAATGAAGCAATTTATCCCATGCGGCAGCAACCCAAACACATCTGCCATTTTGTCCCCGCCCACAAACTAGCGAGGACAAAATGGTGGCCTCCTGACAAACTGCTCCTTTTTGCTGCCTTAGAGAGGTCTCCACAGTGCTGCATCGTCTTCTAAATGCTTCTGCAGAGCTTGTTAAGACAGCACAGTGAAGCAGTTTGTCCTTAGACAGTGCAGTAGCGACCGGAATGCGGCCACCATTTTGTGAGCGGGACAAAACGATGGCCGCTTTCAGAACATTGCCATGTGGCTGTGCAATGAAGAAAGTCATCCCAGTGATCTGGGAGGCCTCGCAACTCTTCAGAAAGTAAGTGGTGAGAAAGGGTGTGGGAATCAGGCCTAAGGCCTGGGAGATACTGAGTAGAAGTAGGAAAAAGCCTGTTGGGACCGAAGAGATGGGATGTGGAGCATGAAGCATCTTGGGATGGGGGAAACTTTGGAAGATTATATTACATAAAGGTATATTAATGTTTATCTACATATACTACCATGTTTCTCATATAATAAGGCCGGGTCTTATTTTTTTTTGAGCCCCGAAAAAACGTCTAGACCGTCTTTTCGGGGGTGACTTAATTTCCTCCCCCCTTGCATCTTAGGGTGGGCGGCGCCGGCTTGGATGTTGACCTTGGCGTTGGTGGGGCACTTTCTATCAGGGTCAACACAGGCAGCACCATATCCGGCTGTGTAACAAAAGTACTTCCTAACAGCAAGCCCCCCTGCCATTTCCCCCCCATTTCGCATGTTTTAATATAGGCCTTAATTTGGGGGGAGGGGCTTAATTTCATTTCATGCCTATAAAACATGCTGGGACTTCCTATTGGGGGAGGCCGTATTGTTGGAGAAACGGTATATAGTTCAAAGTTTTATGATTTTTCATAGATGTCATCAATATTTAATAATTTCTTGTCTGTGGAGGAAATATGTAGCAAGACACTAACAGGCCTAGGAAAGGCACGTGTGTGCATGCAGAATGTCTATACAGAGGAAAGTGAAAATTTCATGTAAATGCATATACATTGGGCACAACCTTTGCATACTTTTCAGAAACCAATATGCACTTATATACAGGAAGAAAGCATATGTTTTGTTTCTGGAAATTTGCTAAGAGTGCTGTCCCAAATAAATACCGTACAGAATCTGCCAATTAGAAAAACCCTTCCTTTTTGTTCCTATTCTGCTGAGGATTTGGTTTTGCATTGACTCAATCCAGAAAGGTATATTTTATTTTATTTTTTTTTTATTTTATTTTATTTGGTTTGTCAATTGCTTACAAGATAATAGATATAAGTAAAAACATAGTTATGAATACATGGATACATATCAGAAAAATAAAAAGAAACAATAGGAGAGGGACGGTAGGCATGTTGGTGCACTTATGCATGCCCCCTACAGACCTCTTAGGAAAGAAAGGGGTGAGGTCAACAGTAGAAAGTCTAAGGTTAAAGTTTTTGGGGTTTGGGGAAGAAACCACAGAGTCAGGTAGAGTATTCCAGACATTGACCACTGTTGCTCTGTATATGATCTGAATGGAAAGGAAATAGGTATATACCTCCTACCTTTTTTCCTAAAGTTGAAGATGACTTGAGGGGACAAGAGACTGCAAGTAGCCAAGACTTTAGTGTAAGCAACACAGAGCTGAACAGAGTCTGATGGGCCAAGGAAATGTGGAGGAGTAATTTCACCTTCAGAGATTTTTAAAGCTGCATACCTGGAGAAAGGTTTCGCCATTCTGGAAGATCTTGGAAAGGTGTTTTGAAGACTTTTTCTTTTCTTTAATTGGAAAGGGTCTGTCTCATTTAAATGAGACTTAGTTTCCAATTGGCTTTAAAATGTTTGACTTACATTGCAATCATTTCTTTTTCAATCTCTCTTTTAATGACTAGGTTCTTGTTTGTCTTGCTGGGTCCAGTAGGGAAAGGACAGCAGTATCATGAGATTGGACGGTCAATGGCTACCCTCATGACTGATGAGGTAAGTGAAGTATGCATAATTTCACCCTCTATAACAGTGTTTCTTAACCTTTGCATGGCTGCCTGTGGGATTCTGGGAGTTGAAGTCCAGGTTTCTTAAAGTTGTCAAAGTTGAGAAGCACTGTGGGCCTAAGCCGTTTACATTGCTTTGGATGACCTATACATAAAAGAACATCAACAGAGTCATAAAAGAGTTATAAAAGTCAGAAATAATGACCCCACACACTCCAAATAAAGCATTATTATACACATGTTAGAATTGGTTTTCATGATGCATACTCTCCTTTTAATATTTATATGACTCGGTTTATTGTAAACTGTAGTAACCTGTCATATGTGTTACTTTCCATTCATATATTATATAATCACAGCCAGCCTTGTTCTTTTTTTTTAATGAGCCACGGTTAGGCGGCTGTGGTTAGGGTCACTGGTGCACTCAGCTAAGTGAAAAAGTGTTTGATTCTGATGGGAACTTATGCAAGGATGCTAGTTCACTACCTGGCAAAATACTATGTATCTATATATTGTTCCACATTCAAAGTGGATGATTTAAAGTTTTGCTCGTTTAACCAGAATAGTCATCCAGACAAAGATTCTGTTTGAGAGAATATATGGAGAAATTAGAATTGATCTAGCTTATTACGGGTAAGTAAATGTTTCTCTCCTGTCTATATAGGTTTTCCATGATGTTGCTTACAAAGCCAAGGATCGAAGTGACCTTTTAGCTGGCATTGATGAGTTTCTAGATCAGGTGACAGTGCTGCCACCTGGGGAATGGGATCCATCGATCAGAATTGAGCCACCTAAAAGCGTTCCTTCTCAGGTAAACTGTGACTTCCTTCTCTAACTCAATAAAACAAAATGGTGATATTTTTAAAATATCAAGTCTAATATGGGGGATACTGTCTATAAATTAGACGGGTGGAATCATAGAACAATATATATTTATCATTTATGGGCTAATACCTAAGATTCCCTAGAGAGCTGTCTCGGCTTTTTGGCCTGTTGTAATTGCAAAGAAAGAAAAATGATGCTGCTTACTTATTGGAAGCTACATCAACACTAAGGCAAATGAATGTGTGCAAATGAAATTGCAGGTAGTCCTCGACCTATGACTATAACTGAGTTCCAAATTTCTATTGCTAAGTAAGACATTGTTAAATGAGTTTTGCCCAATGTTATGACATTAAACTAGTTAGTCATGTTACAACCTTTAACTAGTCATTTTATGTCACAAAAGAATCACATGACCCTGGGACGCTGCAACCATTATAAAATCAGTTGACAAGTGTCCAGATTTTGATCATGTGACCATGGGGATGCTGCAACAGTCGTAAGTGTAAGTCACTTTTTTCAGTGCTGTTGTAACTTTGAACGGTCAATAAATGAATGATTGTAAATCGAGGACTACCTGTATGACCTTTATATGGTTTTTGATATACAGCAGTGTTGCAACTATAAGATTAGGTTTAGCCTCCAATTTGATATTGTTGGGTTGTTGTTTTTTAAAGGCCACTCTGCCTTGAACTGATTCAAAAGCCAGCAGAATGATGTTAATTTGTCGTACTTCCTTTTTATTAGGATAAGAGGAAGATGGCAAAGTTATATAATGGAAAGATTTCTGATGATGATATGGAAGATCACACGGGGCCAGAACTCCAAAGAACAGGAAAGTGAGTTCTGGGAGTCTTGTGGTGGCTTCTTCTAAAGCAGCAATAAGCAATCTTTTACTAGCTAGTACTGCATTTTAAAAGGTATTTGATCTCTGTGGCCTGCAGTGGACGTGGCCAGTGACATCCTGGCATCAATGCAACGGAGAGGTTCAGATTATTGACTTATTTTGGGAGTGTTTTAAGAGGTTACATGTCTCTAGCTTAAGATAGCAATAGCACTTAGACTTACCGGTATGTACTGCTTTATAGTGCTTTACAGCCCTCTCTAAGTGGTCTACAGAGTCAGCATGTTGCCCCTAACAGTCTGGGTCCTCATTTTACCCATCTAGGAAGGATAGAAGCTGAGTCAACCTTGATGCTTATTTTTCTCATAACAACAACAACAACAGCAACAACAACACAACCGTTGGCATGGTTCAAACATTATTAAAGAGGGAGATGGGTGGTTAAGTGCGAAATATAAATAAATAAGTGAAATGACTTCTCCAAAATTTTAAGACTTTCATTTTGCCCAGTACTATTACAAACTGCATGGAAGAATTTTTGCATGGTTGCAGAAATAGCATTTGTGGGCTATATACTATCCAAACTTTTGCTAAAGGAAATTTTCCCATCTTTCATTTTAAGGGCTCTATAAACTCAGGAACACCTTATGAACTAAATACAGGTAGTCTTCGACTTATGACCAAAATTGGGACTAAAATTTGCTAATCAAGACAGTTGTCCACCCACTTTTACAACTTACTTTGCCATGGTCACTAAGTGAATCACAGTGAAATGAATTACACTGTTAAGCAAATTTGGCCTCCCCACATTAACTTTGCTTGTCAGAAGCTGATTTTACTGATCAATTAAATTACACGAATCCTGATCTTTTACACTAATCAGTAATCACACTATTTGCACTAAACACTCTAATCACACTAATCAATCAAAACAATAAATCAATTAAACCATTGATAAATTAATTATTTTATAGAATTTGATTATCTAATCATTGATATAGGTAATGAGGTAGAAAAGTTATAAGTTTTGAGGTAATGAGAGTCAGTGAGTAAAGGGTTAATTGCTGCTGATATCTGATCCACAGAGTGGGAAGGACTCTGAGCAGGACTTTACAGCTGACAGGAAATCTCCATTCAGGGAGTCTTTACCCAGGGAAACTTGGTGAGCTAGAGATGGAAGGCACGTTGGTTTCTTTTTGTTTGAAATGGCTTCAAAGTGATTGATTTTTGGTGATTTAAATGGACCTCAGTTCTCCATAATTTACAGCCGTTCAGAATCACACCCTCTGTCAGTTCCGTTTCTTTCTCTGCAGTTTAAAATCACACTGTCCACCAGTCACAGCTCATTGAATGGCTCACTCTCAGAATCAGTCTCTTTGTAAGTGTCTGCATAAATCACTCATAAATCACAGCTTGTACAGGCTCTTATCTCTATCCGCTTCTCCTCAAGTCTTGGTCTCTCTCTCTCTCTTCCCTTGTTGTTTGTCCTGCTGGGGAAACTGTGTGTGGGATTTTAAAGGAGACACGTTGTCTGGCATGGAAGATACACCAATTAGCTGTGTATGGATTTAAATTTAAATTGGGTGGATTTAAATTTAAATTTAAATGAAGGTGTGTTGCTTGTGCTCCACTGGCTCCGGCTAGCTTGAGATCCGCCAGTGTGGTATATATATTATAAGTAAATGTCAGTTACAAAGTGCCCAAATTTTTATCACATGATGGTGGGAATGTTGTGTGAGTTGTAGTATAGTTTTCAATGCCATTGTAACTTTGAACTGTTGTATATCTATGAATGGTTGTAAGTCTAGGGGTACTTTTAGTACCAGTAGAGTTAGAATGGTGACATCTGGGTAAGAATTTTCAAGAATTATGGCAGATCCCTTTTGCTAGTACTGAGGACTATAATGAGAAGGGAAATGTCTGGTAATACAGAACAGAGGATTCTCAGTTTGAATCAGATGTGAGCCTATAAACAGGAATTGTGGACAAATAACGGGGTGAATATGTCAAAGTCAAAGAGCTGCCACTCCACTTTCAATATTATGTGTTGGGAAATGGTTTATCTCCAGCCACTTTGTTACTGTATTTAACTCACTGCTGTGAATCCACCATTTCTTAGAAATTTCTGTCTTTGCTTTGCAGGCTCTTTGGTGGCTTGATATTGGATATAAAACGGAAAGCTCCTTGGTACTGGAGTGACTATAAAGATGCTTTGAATTTGCAGTGTTTAGCTTCCTTTCTCTTCCTGTATTGTGCCAGCATGTCTCCTGTGATCACCTTTGGGGGGCTGCTTGGAGAAGCAACAGATGGACAAATTGTAAGAACATTTCCCCCCTTCCTTTTATGTTTTATGAGTAATTGTCAAGATAAGTGACAACAAAACCAGCATTACAAAAGCAATGGACATTTAACCTCATCACTGCTCGTCTGTATAGGATTTTGCATTATTAGATCACAGTTCTAACTATTGGTGTTTTTTTTTCATCAAGGTTTTAAGTGGATGGTGATCAATCCACATACACGGACTTTTACAAGGGCCCCAGATCTTTCTGTACTTCCTATGTTTTCCATCTTTCTTTTTTTTTCTTACAGGAAGACAATAGAGTAGCTTCAGAGTGTCTTCTGATTAGAAATACAAGGCACTCGACGCAAAAATACCCCATTCATTTTCTGTGTCCTGATAATAGAATTTTAAACCGCCCCTGCAAAATGTGCCTTCAGATATTCATTTGTAATAGAAGGCATACTCTATAATTACTTTTTTGGAAGAGAAGATTAAAATTAGTTATCTGGATATATTTTAACCTATCTTTCATATTCACAGTTATATCCTAGACAATTTCTTTCTTTCTTTCTTTCTTTCTTTCTTTCTTTCTTTCTTTCTTTCTTTCTTTCTTTCTTTCTTTCTTTCTTTCTTTCTTTCTTTCTTTCTTTCTTTCT